GGATTCGAAAATGGACTCTCTGGAAGGAACAGCCTAATGTTTCCATCCCACAGGTACCCTGGGAAATGAGCTCTCTCTGGTCGACCGTCTCGACAAAGAAATCCAAAAAAGCCTCAGCTATTGGAGAAAAGGGAAATACTGATCATACTGTCAGATCTGCTCCTCTGGATGTTATGTGAAATCACTTCTCCACTGTCGTCCCACTTTTTCAGATGCTTTCAAACTGTCCCATTTGCACCACCTGGCAGCATCTTAGTAGACAGTGCACACCCTCCAATCATCCTAATTTGGCAAGGACAGTCCTGGTCAATCCTCCACCATCCTACTTTTTCAGCTGCTTTTAAAATGTCCTGGTTTCTATCTCCTCTTCCCCCTCCATCCTCAGCTTTCTTCTTTTGCTGCAATGTGCAAAAGTAGTTTGACGCCAACTAACTGGGGATCAGAGGAAGAGCAGTCAGCTCAGGCAAAAGCAAATTGGCGTAGTCTCTCCTGGCTTGTGTCTCCTTCCTCATTAATAACTTTCCCCATCTTTATTATTATGATGAAGTATTTATACTCTGCTCTTCAGCCAAAAGGCTACCACTCTGTGATGCTGCTGTTGTATTCCCGAAGATGACAGCAAGAACCAACCCAGGTTTCTTTCCCGGAAATCTGCATCAGCAAGACAGAGAGAATCTATTTATGGCTTGCAAAGCAATCCAGGCTTCAAATGCAGAGCAAGGTACCTTTCGTGTCTTGCTCAACCTCCTCCTGGTTAATGTTTTCAGCTCTGAGATGGAGCCTCACCAATCTATGCAGACTGAACCCACCCTCAGATGCCAGACAGGCGCTGGCTAAGGACCGGCAGGAGCATCCGCCTTTCTGCTCTCTCCGTGCAAGACTCTCCATCTCTCCAATGTGCAAACACTTCTTCCTTCCCCATGAAAGACCTTCCATCTCTCCAGTGTGCAAAAACCTCTGCCTTTCCCGTGCAAGATTTTCCATCTCTCCAATGTGCAAAAGCCAGAACCATCCAAGAAACTGTTTTCCCTGACCAAGCAGGTTTTTGCAAACTAACCAGTTCTGGACCATCTCCCAAATGTCAGGGATGGAATTGTGACATCTCTAGATGGTGCTCAACTGCAGCTCCAAGCATACTTCCGCATTAGCTAGCCTGGCAGGGGCTGCTAGGACTTGCGATCCAACCACATCTGGAGGGCCATCTGAGTCCCAACCTTGACCTAGATCCTCACAAGATATCGCTCTGGAGACCAGGCAATGTAAGGAGGACCTACTACAAAACCCCTGAGGCACAGTGGTGCCCCTGAACCCATGCCATCCAAACCTCTTTGCTCTCCAGACCCAATAATATTTCCTGGAAATGCCTTGTGTTTCCACTAGGCATGCATTTAGGACACATCCAGAAACAATCCAGTGTGACACCACTTTAACAGTCGTGGCTCAATGCTAGGGAGTTCTGGGATTTGTAGTCTCTTGTGGCGCCACAGATCTCTGACAGAGAAGGCTCAATGTCTCACAAAACTGCAGTCCCCAGAACTGCATGGCATTGAGCCAGGGGAGTTAAAGTGGTGTTAAAGCGGATTATTTCTGCAGTGCGGATGCAGTAAGAAGACTTTCCCCACCTGGATCCAAGTGCCGTAATTGAAAGAGTCTTGAGATTAAAATCCCAAAATAAGATTCTGGCGCATTAGCCTCTTTGGTGGCACAAAGGGCACACGAAACGCCATTTTTAATGCACTTAGTTACTCCTTGTTATCTCTGCTTCTGCCAATACCTTGCCAGATGGCACCCAGATCCGTAATTGAAAGTGGAGAAGGAGTCGAACTAAAGCAATTAAGTTATTAAGAGACTGTGGATTTCACTCCAGGCATAGGGCAAGGTTGGCGTTGGAGCGGTTATTGAAACCCTCCATTGCAAATTTTAGATTGCATCCATCAAATAGGCCATTCGGGACTCGAACACAGGGCCTGTGTAATATGAGGGCCTAGCAAGGAGCTGAGAGCTCAGTTATCATTAGGGATGGAAAGAATATTTGCAAATGTGTTTTAGAAGCGCTCGAGAAACATGCATCTCAAGTTGACAAGGAGAATACTGGACTGATGAGAATCTGTGAGGTTGAAGACTTATTGTGTGCAAAAGTCATACTTTTTTCCTAGAGAAAAACCATATTCTGTATAGGGAACAGCATTTTCTGCACAGAAAATAATATTTCTGTGCAGAAATATAATTTTCTGCATGGGAAATAATATTTCTGCAAAGAAATGAAATATTCTGTATGAGAAATAATATTCCTGTACAGAAATATATGTTTTTTGTGCAGAAAATGCTGTTTTTTGTACAAAAGATACAATGCACGAATTTTGCACAGAATAAGTCTCAAACTGCGAATGACTTTTTTTCTCGAAGTAGGAAGACAATTGCTAGATTTACTTATTACTTCCTTCAGGGACCAAATAAGCAAATGATTTCATTCCTAATAACCAAATGATGTCTTCACGCCAACCCTGTAAGGTAGGCCGTCTCAATGGAGAGATCTGGGTCACATCAGTCACCAGAGCCTGGTGTGGATTCGCACTCAGGTCTTACTGTTCAATATGCAATGCAATCACTTGGAACAACTACCGTACTTATAAATTTACATAACTTTAAAGGAGACGACAATGAAATTGATTTTCTCTATCAGTTTTGTAAACTTTCTAAAATTTTCTAAACATTGGCTCCGTCATCGATAAAAAGGGAGACTGTTCTCAAGAAATCAGGGGATGACTGGGATGCATCCACACTGCAGGAATATTGTAGTTTGACACCATATTAAGTACCGTAGTGCCATCCTATGGAATCCTGGGATGTGTAGTTTCACACGGGTCTTCAGCCTCCTCTGCCAAAGAGTGCTGGTGCCTCACAAAACTGGGACTCGCTCCATGCCATGGAAAACTGAGAGTTGTAGTTTTGTGAGATCCTTTAGCCTTCTCTGTCAGAGAGCTCTGGTGCCACAGCAAACTACAAATCCCAGGATGCCATAGCATTGAGCCATGGGAGTTAAAGCGGTGTCAAAGTGCCTCATTTTCTGCAGTGTGGATGCAGCCAGAGTCAAGAGAATTCCTTCTTCGTCTTCTTTGTGAACCACCGCTTTTTATTTTTCAAAAGGGCTCCACTGCGGATCCAGGACTAATCGCTTTTCCATTTGCTCATATTTTTATGGTTTGAAGCCAAGACACGAAAGGATCAGAAAGCGGCTCCAAAAAGTCTGTTTGCAGAAAAATAATCCCAGAAGCAGCTGGGATGGGGATTTTTGTCGCTATCTGGAAAAAAGAGCATGGCATTCAATGGAGCTCCTCAACAGGGAGAAGAACTTGCACTCTGCAAAATGGGGAAATGCACCCTTTTTTGTGGGGCCATCATTTTCTGGGTCTGAATCTGCAGAAAGAGTCTCCTATGCAAAACTCCAGCATGCAAGATAAAAGAAAAACCGAAAAGAAGGGGAAATGGTGTTTCACGAGAAACCGGCTGAAGGCCAACCGTGGGTCAGAAAAAGAGAAAAAGAATGGCCTCCATTGTGGAAGCAGCCAGAGGCAGAAAAATTAATGGGGCAATTAATGGTGCAGACAGACCAAAATAGGGTATTTTTGTCCCCCTTTTAGAGCTGAACGCAGTTGAATATCGGTGTCCGTGTGTCGGAGGAAGAGCCTGCCTGAACTTTCCTTTGATTTAGTCCCGTTAAAACCGGGATATGGCAACCCTAATTCCTGCATGGCCAGATGGGGTGGACTAGTTGGCCTTTGTGGGTCCCTTCCGACTCTATGATCTCTGCGACCAGATGAGTCCCAGCCCTGCTCAAGGGTTACACGGCGTAGGAATGAAGACAGAGAGGTCGAGGGAACATCCAGAGACACGCAGAAGGAGATGCAAAGGAATAAGAGCCAAAAATGGACACGTTGTTTTGCAGAAATAAGGCGCTGCAAAATGTCGTTGCCCTTGTTTTAAGGAGTTTATCCGCTTCTCTATCTCAGTTTGCACTATTCGGGCACCTCCGTTTCTGACCGCAAAACGTTGCAGAAGCTTCTTGGGCTGGTTTTGGTCCCTGACGTTACACTTCCGTGGTTTGCTCTCCGTTTCAAGATGGCCCCTTTGGGTAAAAGAGGAAACCTGCGCTCTCTGGCTTTGCTGAGCAAGAAAAACGAAGTGTCTTCAGGGCATGAGAAAGGCTGCCTTGGGACATGGCCAGCGATCTTGGAGAGGGGACCCAAGCCTAA